GGCCATTGTCCCACGGGAGCAGGAGCGATGGCAGGCTGCCCGTGGGGACACCCTGCAGCTCTGCTGGGCTGGCTCAGCCCGGGTCAAGCAGAAAGGTCAGAGCACACAGAGGAGCTGTGGGCAGGGAGGGGGCAGGGAACACAGCCCCAGCTTACATTGCACATTCAGGGTGTCCCTGCTTGGGAGGGACACGGAGCATCCCCCTCCCCTGGCATGGGGCACCCCAAGCCCCAGGCAGCCCTTCCCCAAGCCCCCAGGCCTGCCCCACACAAACCTGCACACGCCCCCTGTGAAGAAAAACACCAGCTTGGGCTTCTTGTGGCTTTGACAAACACGTGGACTACGGCTGGAGGGAAAATCTTCCCACAAAGAAAAGAGGTTTTGCTGCTGGTATTGTCTTCATGTAGCAATGCAAAGTGAGCGCAGTGAGTCTGTCCAGGTGCAACAGGAGGATAAATCACGTGGAGGAGGCCACTGGGGAGAGAGAGCATGCAGAGAAAAGCAGCTATTGAAGAGAGCAAGCCCCACCTGCCCTCCCTGCTGCACCTTGGAAAACCAGCACCTCTACATCGTGTGCCACCACCGTAGCTGTCCCTGCTCCTGTCACACAATTCCCATCATAAACAGAAAATTAAAGTCAAGAACTCATCCTTGAGGAAGGAAAAAATGAGGCTCTGAAACAACTGGGCTGAAGCAGACATCCCTCCTGTGCAGATAACCCAGGTGCCCAGCATCCTCCCTCCTGGGCATCCTGGCTCAGCCCTTCCCTTCTCCCTCTGTGCTGCAGTCCCTGCCCTCCTCCAGGGCTTGAAGCTTCCCACGGTGCTGCTGGGCCTGAGCAGTGAAGAAGCAGTGCTGGGGCTGTGGGGGGCATGAATTGATCCAAAAGCATTGCAATCCCAAGTAATTGGCAGCAGCCAGCACATCTGTGCAAATATTTGCTTTTGCTTGTCAAAACTTTGGACAGAGTTATATTTCTTCCTTTATTTATTAGTTTCATCTGTCTTGAAACACAAACTGCAAAAATTGTGAGCAGATTGACATCTTCTTCTAACTTCACTGTGGCTGTGCCTGCTCTGGGGCAATTCTCTGCCAGCTGAAGTGACACTCCTGGAGGAAGCAAGGCAGAAATTCCTGTGCCACCCACAACCACAGTCACGGCTGCGGGAAGTGAGATGGACCCTGTGCTGATGGTGATGATCCCCTCACGTGAAGCAGGGAGCCTGGAGGCTGCCTGGCTCTCTGATGGAAAGGAGGCAGCAGCCACAAGGCAGCATCTCCTCTTCTCCCCCCACACCCTGGAAGGTGACAAAGTTCTCGTGTGTTTTGGCAGAGTTGGCATCTGCCCTTGCTCAACTGTGCATCCACACACACAGCTCCTTGCACACCCCACATCCCTGCCCTTCCCACGTGGTGCTTTAACAACCCTGAGAATGGCAGCACAAACATCCAATACCAAATCAATACCCAGAACTGGTGTAGGTTTCCACACAGTGTAGCAGTTGTCTTGCCAAGTTATTACAATGGTCTGTACTTAGTATAAAAGGAACCTCCTCAAAATTAATGAAACAGAAAAATGCCTTTGTCAGAGATACTTACTTAATTTGCAAGTGACCCAACAAAAGAAATGAACAATTAGAGCCCTGCTGTCACACCATTACAGAGCAGTTATATCCACTGTGCAAACTGTGTAATTCCTATTCATATTTCAGTCACTCCTGACAATTAAATCACATTTCCCTTTCTTGTAACAGCCAATACATGCACATCAATCAGTGCAGCTTGTTTATGCTGCAGTGCAAGGCCACGCAGTCGCTCAGTTTACTGTAGAACAAGCCCAGCATTAACATCCCTGTCACCACAAAATTTCAAATTGCACATGGACTTCATCAGTCCAAGGGAATATTTTGGTGCTGAAATGCCCCCTGGAACTGGGCACTTCTTGTTACTCAATCCAACCTGTTGCTTTCCCCAGGTTACCACTACAAACACTGACAGAGTCTGGGGTTTTCCAACCCACTCCAAGATTCAAGACATCCCACTCCCACTCCTTTCAGCTCTGTCAGATGGTTGGGAATGACTGTGGTGCTGTGAGCCTGAATACCTGACACACACAGTATCCATCTGCTCTCCAGGTGTGGGAGCTAAAATCATAGGTTTCAGGTAAATTACAGTCTGTTTGTAACAGATTATCTGTTCATAATATGTGCAGAATCCTTTGGGTCTGCACTTTATTCCAACTGGCATGATTTTCTAAAAAAAAAAAAAAAAAATCCCTATTTTTATATACATTAAGTACATGGTCAGCCAACCTTTCCCTGTAAAATTGCTCTGGAAGCAAGGAAGCTCTTCTCCACACCTCCAGCTCAGGGGAGCAGGCAGCCCCAAGGGAGGGCAAGTTAATGGGTAACAGCAGGACCAGAGACAGGAACCAGTGCTGCAAGTGCAGCCTGCATTTTCTAATCCTGAGCCTTCCCGTGAGCAGCAGGGGAGCTTGCACAGCCCCAGAGCTCAGGAGAAGGAAAGCCAGCAGCACTGGAAGCTGAACCAAGAGTGTCACTGAGCCAAGCAAATGTCTACAATGAACCACTAGGAGAGAGTGGTCACCATGGAGAAACCTTCCCAGCATTCCCAATACAAAGCACAACACCATTACCTGTGTTAAGGGGCTCAGCACTGCTGGGGAAGAGGTTCTCCAGGGCTGTGAACTTACAGGCCACAATGAGAATATTCCAGGGCTTCTCAGGAAGCATTCCTCTGCTGGCAAGTCACAGGCCACGCAGCAGCCAATGCTGTGCCTGGTCCCAGTTAGAGAGACTTCAAACTTTCATTATTAAGAAAAGCATTAACTGGTTTGAGCCTATTCTGCACTGCTGCTAATTGCATCTGCACTCTAAGGGCTCTCCCTGTACTTCAAACTCAAACTTCCAAAGAAGTGCAGGTAGCTTGGCAGCTTGGACTCTTGCTAGATCCAAACAAGTGTGGACCAAGTGGTAATGCTTATCCAAAAAATATTTCTATGGGTTGAGTTGTGTTACTGACATGAAATGGACTGCTCCCCCACAGAAGGATGCTGCTGTGGAGTACAGATGGGGATAAAGTATTTTTCAGAGATCTCAGCAAGCACATTTAAAATCCTCACTTCCATCCTAAGCCAGACTTGCTAATCTAATAAAATCCTAAGCTTGAACACTGTCTGTGTGGAATGCAGCCATGTCCTGCACAACTTCAAATAATTTGGGAGCAATCCTTTGACTTTCACGTGGGCAGATTTCCATCAGAGCTGCTGGGAACTCGGGTTGAGCCCTGACTGCAGCGGTGCCTGTGAACCCCATGCAGGTTCCCAGCCCTGGAGAAGGTTCCTGCTGTAGTGCAGAGGCACTGCTGGCTGTAACTCAGACCATGCTGCAGGGCCAGGCAGGCACAGGGCACGGGCTCTGCATGGCAAGGCTCCGGCAGTGCTGGCTGCAGGGGTGCTGCCCGTGAGAAGCAGCTGGGAGCTTCCCCAGGAGTGCCAGAGCCAACACCAGCCAGGCTCCAAATGGAGCACTGGCACTGGCCAAGGCTGAACCCATCAGGTGTTACCATGGTGGCAACACCTCTGGGATAGCAGATCAAGGGAAAGGAAGTCACTGCACAGCTGGAGAGAGGAGTAGCTCTGCAGGTACCCAGGTCAGTGCAGGGGGAGAGCCAGGAGCTGCTCCAGGCACCAGAGCAGAGATTCCCCTGCAGCCTGTGGAGAACCCCCTGCCACGCAGTGCACACCCAAAGGAGGCTGTGGGCAACCTGCTGGAGCACACTCATGGCAGGACCTGTGCATGATGGAGAGAGGAGCCCAGGCTGGAGCAGTATTGTTCCCAAAGGTCTCTGCCCACACTGGAGAAATTCGTGGAGAATTGTCTCCCCTGGGAGGGACCCCATGCTGGAGCAGGGGAAGAATGTGAGGAGTCCTCAGGGGATGAGATGTGATAGTCTGACCACAGCCCCATTCCCTGTACCCCTGTGCTGCTGAGGGGAGCGGGGAGAGAAAACCACAAGTAAAGTTAAGCTTGGAAAGAAGGGAGAGATGGGGGGAAGGTGTTTTCAATATTAGGTTTTATTTCTCTTTATCCTACTGTGATATGATTGCTAGTAAACTAAACTAGTTTCCCCAAGTTGAGTCTGTCTTGCCCATGATGGTCACTGGTGAGCGACCTCTCCCTGTTCTTACCTCAGCTCATGAGCTTTCCATTCTATTTTCTCTCCCCTGCCCAGCTGAGGAGGGCAATGACAGGAGTGGCTTTGGTGGGCACGTGGTGTCCACCCACAATCAACCCATCACACAGAAACAGCTACCAAAGCATCAGAGTCACAGTGAGCCATTCACACTGACTCAGAAAAACAATCAACAGGGTTTAAAACAAGAGGTTCACTCTTCTCCCCTGACTACAGAGAGCCTGCATCTGGAAGCACTGACAAATATTTTGAATTGTTTGATGACTTTTGGAAGAGAGGAAGAATAGGTTATAGTCTGAATATTGTGTAAAATACTTCTCCATGACAGTGAAAAGACTAGCAATCTCTGTCACTCAGGACAGTGCCTGAGCTGAGCAATTTTAATCTTTATATAGCTACAGTAAATTGCAGTACCACAGCTCTGAAGACCCATCCCAGCTTGCAGTTCTGCCACGACAATGCAACTCCAGACTCTTGGCAAACGATCCCTGGTTTCAGAAGACAATAGGTAGCAGCAGCTACCGGATACTGAAACCAAGCCAGGCACTAAAACGTAGTAAAAAGAAGCTGGACAGTTAACACCACTCATCTAAAAAGTAAGGGATGATGCCAGTGGATCTGAATGTGCTGGTTGGACTGATTTCATTTTCCCTATGCAGGTTAGCTCCTCTACCACAAAGAACCTGCTTCAAGACAGGAAAGACCACTTAGAGCTGATACAGCAATGTATGTAAATCCATTTTCAGTTACTACAGTAAGTACATCAATTGCTCTGAAAACATAAAAGCAGGGAACAGCTTGTTTTATTTTACTGCACAGATACACTCCTGAGTTAAGTCTTAGAGGTGTATTCTCTCTGCAAAAGGAGAGCAGGCAGAAGGAACAGATCCATGTCTGAAAGGTAGTTTTGAGTTTATTTGAGTGAGCTTACCACGTTGGTGTGGCCCCAGGGGCAAAGAAGAGCCCCACACAGGAGCAGAGGGTGCTTGATTCAACTTCTAGAGATGCAGAGCCTCCTCCAACACGTGCACCCACCCCCTGCCACAGAAGTGCCACGATAGGGAATTGTTCACCCCTGAAAAGAATCGCTGTGGCAGACGGGGCACAACGCAGCCCCACTCACGGCAGTGACTGGCTTGGTTACCAACAAGGGCACATCACCTTCCCCAGACAGGATCACCTGGAGTAAACCTAGGGAAATACACACCCTTGCACAACTTATATATATATATCTATAGGTATCTCTTATATATATAAGTTTTATTTGTGTATACATTGATATAAATATGCACGCCCCCATACACACAAACACACCCCCATAACACAAAGCACAGAACACACACACACACACACATACAGAAATATTTTAAATGATGCTGAACTGAAATCTAAGAATATAATTAAGAAATTAGCAGGTTTAAAAATTGAGTTAAAAAACTATTCAAAGTGTCTTTAATATTTATGTTCAAGTAGGGCCAGAACGACCACAGATTAGTACTGATAAAAAGAGCTGGCATTAATTTCCCATATTATGCCAGAACTCGTGAGTTACTCATTGTCAAACTCATTGTCACTTCGCCATCAATGCACCTCCTCAACTAGAAAGGTTTTTTTAGGAAACAGTGATTTTTCCAGACTTGGGTTACAAGCAATATTGTTTAGGCACCCTCAGTCATAAACTAATCCTAAAAACCACACACACCTTAGAGTATCAGGAGAGAACTAGCAGGATTTAGACATCCACACCCACAGTATTCAGTGGCACAAACAGTAAAAAAGGCAGTACTGGAGATGGAGGATGGAAAGGTGACACAGTGGTGGCCTTTAGAACAGCAACATTTACCTAGAGTGACACTCCAGTACACCACAGATGCTCCATATTCAGGAGATTCGGAACCATGGTGGCATTTCAGAGATGGCTGTGGGTGCAGGATGGGATTCAGTGGCAGCTAAAGCTATTGTTTACTTGTGCTCCAGGGTGGTAACAAACGCCTCTAATAACACTGCAAGGATTATTTGGGATATTTAGTATGGCTAGAAACCCTGGTACCAGCGTCTTATATCAGAACCCACTTTATTAGAATGTAAATGTAGTGTACAAGCACCAAATAATTTTAGCTTAAATGTTTAATGAACATTCAATATATAAATGACTAGTGATTTTAAAGAGATCTTGAAAAGATTTTTGTTTTCTTTTCTTACTTTTTTTTCCTTTTGTTAAGATTATTCCCTATTTTCATTCTGATAGAAGACTGAAGATTACTGGTACCCTGGTGTGTATAACCGTGAGTCAGCACACAGGCACACACACAACATACACCTCACTGCTACATCAACAGCCTCTTCAACAGAGAGCCCCAGCCCTGCACAGGGACCTGGACAGCAGAGAGATTCTCTTTGTGCATTTGGGTGTCACCATCAGCACTCCAGTTCCACATTTATGGCAAATCAAGATGGTCTTGAACGTAAGAACGACCCATCCCTCACCCTCTCTAAATAAAGCCATGATTAAGTCTTGAAATTTCTTTGTTTTTCTGCTGTTCAGCTGTGCAAATCCAGGCAGATGTGCAGACTGCAAAGCCGACTTCCAGTCTCTTCCAAGCCCTCACCAGTGCGGGGTGATCACACGGAGACGACGACGTCGAGATAAAGTCTGTCGTAGGACTCGCGGAAGCACAGGATGAGGAGCAGGCTGAGCAGACACGACCCTGGCAGGCACCAGTTGAACCAGGAAAACTCTGCAAAGCAGAACAGAGACCCAGCCTCAGTTATCAAATATGTTCTGTGTTTGAAGTGACCAAAACTTGGATTGATGGCAGGTCTGAAGGAAATCGCTGTGTTCTGACAAAATCCTGACAGCTCCTGATCGATTGATCCATGGTTAACTTGTCTGTGAGCCTTCTCCATGGACACCTTAAGTTATATATATTTATAACCAATACCTTCAGCTAATGTAAATCCTCCTTATTCAACCTGCCAATGAAGAGAATGGGGGAAAAAATAAAAATCTATCATTGCTAATGGAGAATAAACCACTTCCAAAGACTCTGCTCATTAGTCCCTTGATTTCTATGGATCGAGAACTAAAATTAAAAGCATAGGAAGAAACTGGGTTTGATTTTGAATCAAACCTGCTACATTGTGTAAGGAGGGAAAACCAATTCTTCAGAAGAAACTTGAGCATAATGGGATCAATTCAATTTAAAAGTCATTGCAGAAAATGGGTCCTTGGAAGCCTCTTTTCAGCTGTTCGACATAACGTACTGCTCTTAAAAGTCTGTGTTCTGTACTCAAGAAATCCTACCATCTGATATTTGACTAATAATTAGCAGCTTGATTAACATTTTTTTTCAAACAAGTACAACAATTTTTTTTTTCCTACATGTGTCAATTTACTAAAGAAACATTCATTTAACTGGATAGTGTTTTACTCATTTTTATCATTTTTCATTATTATTATTATTATTACTTAATTTTACAGAATCTAGACTCTCCCTCCAGATCTGAGTTAATCAAAACCAAGACTTCATCACTGCTACTTTCTTAAATCTGCAATTTATATCGCTGAAAGAAAAAGCATGATTTATTTTAAACAAAGCGAAGGACAGCAGTCAGAAAGCATGAAAAATCAACTTTCCAAAACCAGTAACTTTCAACAACATTCTCCCTGATCCACCAAACACCCTTATGGATTTGTTTAGGCAGTATTCTTATTAAAACCATAGTAAAAATTTCCTAGGCTTGGAGAAGACTTATGTGATGCCAGGAGTCAACAGGCAAATGCTTTGCTATTATTTTCCTTACAACATTCCTCCTTAATTGGATTAAACAGAGTTTAACTCAAATATCCCAAAAGACAAAATTTAACTTGGGAATTCTTTGTGTCTTTTTTGATCTAGAATTTGTGCCAGCACTGGCAATGCAGGGAACACATCAATCATGTGAAGCCAAAGGTCATTTTCCTTTTGTTTTTCCCTTGGAAATCCCTGCAGAAAAGGTAAAGGAAACCTCATCCAGAGGCTGCAGCTTTGGGGCACAGCACCAGCAGCAAGGCTGAGCTTTAGGAAGGTTTACATCCCCACTCTGCTAGCTGAACCAAAATCTTCAGTGCACTGGAAAGCTTCCAGGGTTTGGGTCCTTCACAGCATTTGCAATATCAGTACAAGGAGAAAAAGAGAAATTGGAATGAAAACTACTGAAAGATTATTTGGCCTAAATGAAAGACCAAGGGAACAAGATGAATTTGACTGAGTTCTGGTTTATCTGTAAGCTTCTTAAATGCCATTACAGGATGTATTTGAACCAAATGAAAGCAAATTATTAAGATCATTATCTACCTTCTAACGGATTTTTTTAATCAGAGGAGCCAATAGCACCCCGGCACTGATCTCCCCCAGTGACCACACACTCTCTCATAATTTCCATCAAAGAATGGATTGTTCTAAGCACAAATTACTTTATTTTCTTTCCTTTTGAAGAAATAGGGAAAATATTTCAAGTGTATGGGTATACCAATTTCAGGTTTATCCTAACCTGCATTTACTGGTATCTCAGAGGGAAAGAAATATGAGAGACAAAAAATGGTCCCAAATACCCCATTTATAGGGGAATGAGTCCACTTTACTGTAATCCTTTCATCAGAAGTCAGACACCACATCCCCCTCCTCATTTATTATGTAATGCCAAACACTGAAAAAATTCTCTGAACATTCTGTTATCTTTCCAGCTCAGGTACAGATGTCAGAAACAATAGTATGTGTGAACAGAGTTCACACCAATTAATATCAAAAGTATACTTTAAAATGTAAAGACTAGCTCTGACACCACCCAAGGCTAGTCCAGATGGCATTCAGATTTTACAATGATACAGTTCAGCATCAGTATTAAAAAATTAAATAATTTCTCTCCGTTCCTGTTCACAGACCACGATTTGGAACAAGGTTGTCATCCTGCTTGCAATTTCCTGGCAGAAAGACAAACCATGCTGAAAATTTGCCCCAGGTTGAAACCTTGATAATTTATAGCAGAATTCAATCTGAAATTTGTCACTCTTCTCTTAGCTATAAAATACATCTTAAGTAGTAATAATACATAAAAGCTCACATTTTCTAATGGTTTACAAATATTACACCATGAAGCAAATGTTTACCATAAAGACAAAATACAAAGAAAAAAATCTGCGTCTTTGAATACCATTAATAAAGACCACTTCCCTCTGAAAGCAAGCTGGGTTCTTATTTTACAGCTTAGAGTAATAATATGTATTATAGTCTACTAAACAGCAAGTTTTAAGTTATGATTATGAGTTAGGAGGAAGCAAATAATACTTGAGAGATGAGAAAGTCTGAATGAATTGCAAAAGCCCAAAGTAAAATCCTGTTGAGCTGGAACAGGCCATGGATTTACTCAAAGGAATGCCTGCTCTGTCTTTGGGCAGCGGGACACCTCTGACCCACTGAACAGAGCTGGCTTTAAATGGGGCATTTCTGCTCTGCCCCTCCTGGGCAATACAGCCCTACCCAGGAGCAGGGGATTGGGTCAGCTTTACTGTGGTTCTCAACACCCACAGGTACAAACATTATTAATGGTCACATTACCCTGGCCTTTATAAAATATGATGACAGTGTGTACACCTTGGTGGTTTCTGGCTACAGCAGATTCAAGTAGAATTATCTTTCATCTAAGAAATTTCATTTTTATAGGCATGCATATAGAAAAGAACAATTAAAATTCTCCTTCCTTGCTGCCCTTGCTTGGATTCAAACATTTGGTTATTAACAGAAATTGTACGTGCAAATCCTTCCTTTTACTGACAAAGGTATGTCCTTAAGGAGTAGTCAATTTTTCAAGTGGCTTATATTACTTACCTGTGTGGTAAAATGTGAGGAAAAACAAAAGCACTCCCATGAACACATTACTCAAAAAGGTGACAACTCCACAGCTGATTCCTTCTGGAACAGGGTAGACTGTCTCCACAAAGAGCTCAAAGAATATTGGTACACTGCTGTTGAGGAATATGCCCAGCAAAATGCAGGATGTGTACAGTGTAGCTATGACAGAAACAAAAACAGTTATTAATTTCATGCTGGTATTTTCCCCTCCTATTCAGAGCTGCCAAGAATACTAATATTTGAATAACCAAAAAATGCATAATCTTATTTTTATCCTCTGTGTAGCAAAAAGAACATCACATCCCACTAGCTTTAGGAAGAATGCATGCATTGATTTGTGAAAAAAAAGTCAGAAATAATGATTGATTTATTTATCTATTTATTTAAACAGAATCCATGAAGATACATTCAGTGATTTGGACTTCACTTGTAAGTAAAACAAACAACAAAATTGTGAATGCAAAGCATCACCTACAGTTTAATTTACCTCTGAAACAAACAGAAAATATTGTCCTACAAACAATTAGGACAGGGAGCAATTAATGCACCAAATTGGAAATGGACATAGATTAACCTTTTGACTTAGCTCTAAAGGTCAAAACTAATTTTGCTTCCATTTTACAAATAAATACTAATGATCTACCAGCTATCAAGACATTAGTATTCAGCACAGCCTGAGCTGCAACATCCCTTCTGGCTTCAAAAGGAAATGAAGGGCACCCAGCTCCTGACAGGAACGGGACAGATTTGATAATGCAGATTATTTGCTGCTGTACAACAAATTGTTTTTCTTGTACAAACCAACAGAAAAATGTGACATTTCTTCAGCAACCTCAGCTATTTTGTTCTACAATTTCTGCCAAATACTTCACAGTACTTAATACAGAAGCTTAATATACTTATATTATCATTTAATAAACTTATTATAGCTATTTCTGGACTAAAAAAACCCAAACAAACAAACAAAAAAAACCCCCAAACAACCAAACCACAAAACTTCACAAAAATTTAGTATCTGTTTAAAAATTTAAGTAAGTTATTTCTTAGTGCTGTCTTGGACAGAGAAAATTTCCTGACTTGCAACCTCAATAACCTGAGGTTACTGACCAAGTAAAAAGAAGAAGGAAATTATCAGAAAGCTTTAAATAACCAGAAAACTTTGGAATAATTTCTGAGGCTTCTACCAAAATACTACAAAAACCTAAAGAAAAAATATTTCAAATACAAAAGTGTTATGAAGTCAGAGGTGAATTATTTATAGTGTCTTTTCACTGCGAAAAGATTCTACAGCACAAAATCCTTAGAAAATTTTTTCATAGAAATATATATATGTGTACATATTTCAGTTTAATTTACACTCTTTTGTCTTAGAAAGAGGAGAACAGAAACAGCTCTGCTTCATCTTTTGTTAAGCACTGCTCAAGCTTTCAACTGAGAAACTGCTGGGAAGCAGGAAATATTCAGCTTAAAAAAATTTTAAAATTAGCTTTTTAAAATATAAAAAAAATCAGGGAAATCAAATAGATTGAGAAGCAGAAAGGGCTATCTATTACATCCTCTATTTCATGTGGTTTGCTTCCAAGGCACAAGGACATTTCTTTTTCAAAAGAGGACTTGTTGAGACAGGAAAAAGGAGGGAGAGCTGGCCCCACTTTTTTGAGCATACCCCAGTACTCTGAGCTGTTAAGAAAAACAAACACATGCAACACCAAATAAAAGCAACCCCCTCAAAAAAACCATGGTAGCTTTTCCTATTGCTGAATTCTCCTGTCATAAGCTGCAGAATAAATCAAAGAAATTGATGCACGATATGTCCAGGAGTTGTCAGAGAGGAAAGAAAAAACCCCATACAGTGTTAGGATGTTCTTCCTAATGCGCTCCTCCAGCTAACACTGAAGACCTGATTCCCTAGTTACAAGATCCATAGATTTTTGCTGCAAGTTCTCACCACTATTTAAAGTTTCATGAGCCACTCTTTGAACTCCCTTTTACCTCAAACACTGCTGCATATTGCTCTAAATCTCTCTAACTGCTGTCAGGTGTAGCCAGAATATCCAATCACGCTCAGTGGTTTGCAATTTTTGTATTGGCTTGGGAGACCAACACATAAATGAAATAGAAAAATCTCTTAAGACAAATGATCATTTGCCCCTTATTACTACACTCAGTTGAAGATGTCTATAGATAGACTTGTAACTTCTAGAGAACATTTTCAGAACCTCCCCCAAAGAAGAGAAGGTGGCACCCAGCTGTAATTCTGTATCCGAAACTCAAAGAGCAGAAATAGTTGAGAAGCTGCTGAAAGCCACAACAGCGCCATTGAAAGTGGAGCATTGAGCAGGCTGTCAGAAGCAACATCTTCCAGAAGGAGCAGCAGCCAGGAAAGGGAAATCATACCTCTGAACAGAGACAATGTCTAGACATATAATTTCCAGAAACATAGAGTCACTGAGATGAAAGCAAAAATTAGCAGCCATTTAAAGACTTCAGATTTTGTTTCATACAGTAGGTGCCAAGGTTTCCATAAAATGAGAAGAAACCTTCAAACTAGATTTTCTAGTTTAAAATATGCCAGTTGAATTACATCATTGCTGACCACTCACTGCAAGGTATTAAGATGAAGAGACCTCAAGTGAACAAGGGCAGTAACTCTGTACCTCAGAAACAACACCCTCAAATTTCTTGTCAGGACACTCACAGGAACACACCCACTGGCACACATCTCACACTTCCACACTGAGAGCAGCAAAGCAGCTTTAGCATCAGCCTTTGGCTGCCCCAAAGTATTGCCTGCCTTGTGTGTGCACACCAAGAACTGCCAGCTGAGTATCAATGAGAGCACCTCAGCTGAGATCACAGGTACCACTGATAAAGCAAGGTCTCTGGAGAGGTACAGGTACACACATCCTTGGAATTAATAAGCAGAAATGTCACAGCAAAAGGACAGACAGAATGTAGCATCCAGTAGATGCCAATTTAAGTTCTAACATCTAATGGAAATGATAGCTTTTAATTGGGAATCACAAAAAGAAGTTCTGAAAATGAGGAGTATGTGCACATCTGAAAGCCTTCTTTAAATGGCACATTTAAAAATGCTTTTTATCTCATGCATCTGTTAATCAACCAGTGTTATTCTGAGTGCTATACAAATAAGCTTATTCCAGTAATTTAGCAACTGAGTCACAAATCCAATCGGTCAGCTAGACAGGAACTCGAAGATAAGATACACAGTTCTAGAACAGTAAGTCCCAGAAACAAGTAAAATCAGAGTTCAGAAGTGGTTTTTGTTTTTTATTTCACACACTAAACAGTGTATCTCATATTCCAACTCGTGGGTGACAGGACAGCAGGGAGATACCACCTATTAACAGGGACCACTTCCTTTCCATCACAGAGACCTTGTGCTGAACGAACACAAACAATTACCACAGTTTTATATTGCAGAGGAACAGCTGCTCAAGTTACAGCAAATGTTCTTTCAATTAAGACAATCTTAATGACAGTCCTTGGAAATGAATATAAGGATCTGAAAGCACTGACAAAAGAAAAAAAAAGAGATGATTCACCAAGAAGCTAACATTATGTCCTAAACAATAACAACTAACTTGGATAGGCATATACTGGAGAAGTGTGTCATGCTGCTACTATTGAAAAAAAATCACTTTTTCTCAGGAAAAGGAATTAATTACTTGCCTATGAAGTTATGTGCAAAGTTTATATCCAAGACAACGGCAGCTATGGACATCAACAATGGAACTGGACTAGGTTTCTTAAAACATGATATTAATTGAAATAGTTTAAAAGATGTTTGTGTGCATTAAGCAGCTATTTCTCAGGTTGACCACTGCAAAAAGATCAGCAAAAGCAGAAAACCCATCCACAGCACAGCTGTTTCAGAGAACTGGCAGGAGCTGCTGCAGCACGAGGCTCAAGCCATGTTTCATCATGTCATGTTCATGCTTGAGGTATGAGCTAACCCTTGCTATTCCCTCAGCCCTCATTCTGCTGGCCAGGAAGGAAGCAAGGAATAAAATGTGCCTTGATAATAGCACTAGAGATGTTACCAGTTAGATGACTTGGGACTGATGGTGATACAGTGGCTTAGCAGAAAGAGGAGAAAAAGTGGCAAGAAGGAAGGCTAAGGCCTGACTGGCTTATCTCCTACAGGCCTTAGCTACTGGATGGCAAATACATGCCCACATCCCAGAAAAAGACTTTCTCTTCTCCCAGCCACAAGCTGTGGCAAAAGCTTTCTACCAATTAAAAAAAAATGGTGGGGGGGAAGCTAGGAATTCAAACAGGGAAGTGATTTAAATTACAGCCTTCACGTGGTGTCCTCAGATGAGCTTGCAATCCAGCAGGAGGAGACTCAACTATCTCTGACATACAAACAATTTCCCAGAATTTTCCAGGACATTCTGCAACACGTTTCATTATTCCATCACTAAATGTATAACTACAGAGCCTGATCCAAACCCAAATGAAATTGATGGAAGGACCTCAATTGATGTGACTAGTTCTTATCAACCACTGGCACCCGTATCTTGGCTGATTTTTAACAAAGAATATGAAATATTACCATTTCTTAAAAAAAAAAAAAAAAGCTTTCAGATAAATTTACACAGGAAATGCTGTATCACATGCAAGCAAGTGGTACAGTATCTCCTTCCAAAGTCCTCTGCCAAAATCTCTTGAATTCTGTGCATTTTGTAACAGTTCTCTTCTGAGACACTCAGCCAAAACACACACAAATTTTATACAGATAAACAGGAGAGTAAATACAATGGAAGATATTTTCTGGGAAGCAGCACACAATTTAAAGCAAAACCTACGGAGATCTAGGGCACTTTGTCAGTGCCCATTATAACTGTATTCCAAACATCAAAGTGAAAGGATAATGCCTCATGTGGATGCAGACTTTGTTGACTTCAGTGCTTCAGTATCCCCATGACCAATCTGAACAATTCAAGTTAGTTCCTGCCAAAATCTAAAGTCCATTAAAGTAGAATGAAACCTCCCTATAATCTAACTCTTGCTACTGGCCATGGTAAGAAAAGTCATGGAAGAAGTAACCCTTAATTTTTCAATGAGAAATGTGACTCCCTTAAGGTAAAACAATAAATTTTACTGTAATTCACTTATGGGAATGAAAAAACACA